AGCCTTCTTCAGTTTTGAAACTTTGTTCGCCTTGATCTTGCTTTTAGCTTCGCTCAAAAGAGCATCGACCTCAGCGGGCCTGTCTTTATGGTTTGTGCCCATATGACGACGTAACTGATCAAGCCTGTGGAAATCTTTGCCACAGAGCTGGCACTCATGCATACCCTTAACATTGTGGGTTCGCCGGTGTTTGGATAGATTCGACGACTCGCTAAACCGCTTGCCGCAAATCTCACACTCTAAAGGTTTGTCACCAGTATGCGTCCGCTCATGCATTGCTGTCGAGCATATCAGCATTCGGCTTGGTCAAGTATTGAAGCAAAGGGGAGAAAAAAGGGGGGGTGGCCTACTAAGAGCACTTTGCTGCTTAAAGGCGCAGCCACAGCCGGGATACTTGCACACCCATGGTGTCTCCCCGGTGTGAATCCTCATGTGTTGGTCAAGAGCCTGCTTTGCTGACAGAGCAGCTCCGCAAATGGTACATTGAACGGGTTTGTCTGGTTCAGTTCAGTAAAATTGCCACGCCCTAAAACTACATACAAGGCGTGCGGGATATCACTTACACCCGGTATGGACCTGCATGTGCCGCTCAACTTTACTCCGCTGAGTAAAGCAAGTGTTCCGTGTGCAGTTAGCCCAACCACATCTGAAGCCACCATTAAGCTTCTTCAACTGCTTCAAGTGGTCATGCTTGCAGTGTTTCTGTAGCTGTTCGTCATTCTCGAAGCGTTGTCCACAAATGGAGCCACCCTGTCCCACCAGCCATCGACACAGAAACTGATCTTCTTGTACCATGACCTGAGGCTTCGTTTCAGTCGAAGGACTCAAAGGATTGGCAGTAGACGTGACGTCTGGGAGAGAGTGTTCAGAGTCGAGAGGAGACGGCGTCGGCAACGACGCTGGAGTTGCGGATAATGAAGGTCCCATAGACAAGTTTGTCAGTGGCGACATTGACGGAGAGAAATGTTTTGAGGTAGGGGCCGCGTGATAGTTGAAATAAGGGCCGTGACCACCCTGGTGTTGGTGAGAAGTTGGGCTGGTCAAGTGCCCATGAGAGTGAGACGCGCCAGGGAACGCAAACTGATTTCCCTGCATGAAGGTCGACCCATGTTCTTGGAAGATATGGTTGGCGAATTCATTAGGGCCCTGGACTTGAAAACCACATTCGTGAGAGTGTAGTTGAGGCAGAAATGGATCCGAGTTGGCCATGTCATTGGGATTGAATTTCGGCAAAGTACATCTAGTAATTAACTGACTGGGGTCGTTGGCCACGCAGGATCCATGATTAGCGAGCCCATGCGACGGGTCGTGATACTGCATGATATGGTTTGCCAGAGCATACTCCAAAGGCGTTTGAAATTGCTGGTTAGAGAAACTCGCGTGGCCGTTTACGTTTGCAAATATGGAGTCCATGGAAAGACTGCCACATGGCAAGCTATGTGGCAGATTTGCAAAGTTTATGAACCCGTCTCTCGATGTTGAGTTGTGTTGTGGCTGCTGGGCGAGGCCATTATGAACGGCATGTGGGTTATTAACACCAAACGATGCAAGCGCGGCTGCCGCCGCCTTGTCGCCATCGGTTATGGCAGATGAAGGTTGTGATTGTTGTGATTGTTGTTGGTTTATAGATGGGTCTCCAGCGCAATTTTCATCCGTACAAGGCTGACTTGCTCCTTCACAATGCTCGTCGACACAAAGGTTTGGGCTTCCGCAGGCATCGTCATCGCAACAAACAGCATGGCCGGTTTCGCCACATTGGCTAGGACAACTGCCTTCGCAGGCTGAGCTGCAAGACATGGACACGCAGTCATCATCTTTGCAGACGCCGAGACCACCAGTCCCCTGAAGATTGCACACGTTTAGAGCATTGTCGTTGAAGATGTTGTCCCACGAATAATCTTGCATGTGATCCAGGTTAGACGGGATGTCCACCTGGCTCTTTGCTCTGCCGTGTTTGGTGCGGTTGGATCTGGGTCGATTCCGGGCAAGGGTCGAAGATGAAGTCGCCAGTGGTGTTTGTGCAAGGCTTCCTGGTGACTTGCTCTGGACTTTGCTAGGTTGTGTAAAGTGTAGGCAGGAGTCGTCGTGGATACATGGTTCATATGGCCCAAAACCAGAGTTCAGTACGTGCTCGGTGGACAGGAGCGTGTCGAAATCGAGGTGAATATTCGCCATTTCGTCATTGGATGAGTTATTTGCTGAGCCCATTAGGCCATCGAGGGCCATGTGCGAGCCGTCCATCATTGTAATCCGATGTAGCTCAACATAAGCAGCCAGAGAGGTGGAGTGTCGAGGAGGCAGAAACGCAGGAGGCGAGAATGGACAAGGCGAAGCCCGATAGACCCTGAAACGGTTCTACGGCAGAGAATAGGAGCGACTCGGACAAGTAGATACCGCCGTTCCCAGAATATACGGAAGAGGAGGGAGGGGTAGAAGTCTTCAAAGATAGAAAGAGTTGTAGGGACAGAGGAGAGGCCAGGGGGTTCGTCTTGGGATTGGAAGTCGCAGAGCTGGGGCCAAACGAAACAATGCCAAGCATATATTTACCGTTAATCCAGAAAGGGATGAGTGACTGGTCCGGAAGAAGGCTGAACCTCTCGCTCATAAGGCTTATCTTCGAGCAGAAGAAGGGTGAGACAGCAGGGTCTGGGTGCTGAGTGGTGAAGAAAATGAGGCGGCTGAAGGCGAGCAGCAGCAACTCAAGAGTAAAGAGAGGGCGGCAGAAGCTCAGACACTATGGCTGTGAAACCGCTACGGACTCGAGGCATCCAGAACCGAGAAAAGCTGGTTGGTTGCAGGAAATGGCCGATGCGCTGGAGGCTGGGATGCTTCGGTGCTCAGATATCGGAGCGAAGGCGATTCTGAGAGAGGAAGAAAAGAAGAGCGAAGCGTCTACGAGTCGCATGGTTTCTTACTGGACAAGAATTGCGCATTTGCGCCTCTATGCCTGCACTCATGTGGGCTGGACGGGCAGGATGGGCTTGCTTAATGTGGTTGTTGCCCGTATCCTGGTGAGCAGCTGAGAACCCGGATGGTCCTGACCTGGAGGAGCGCTCTTTCCCTTGCACGCGGGAGAAAAAAAAAGAGGACCCGAGGGGGCCATTGGCTGCGTGCGCAAACTGCTCATTGTGGTACGTAGTCCGCACTGCCGGCAGGTGGGGCTCACCAGCTCTTGCCTTATCCAATCTAGGCGTCGCCCACATTTGTAACCAAACTACGGAGCGTCAGACGGCGGTTTGATAACAAAAAAGACCAAGCGGCGAAGAACCCATAATATCAACACAATGCCAACACTACACTATTCGATTTACATGTCTTATTGTGCCGGAAATGAGATTTAAAAGGTTACTGCAGTGCTGCTATGATGCCCTTCCATGAAATACAACCGAGCTGAGTGTGATGTTGGAGCAAGGTTGCGCCAATCCATCCGCCTCGAGTATAGTTTAAGCACACCGAGTCCAAGATATTCAAGTGGACACAGGAAACTATTGCTCAGCCCATTGGCAACCTGGGTATACAAATCCTGTTTGGAAACACACACATAAAACACAACTATCTTGCCAAGCCATCAATAGATGAAGAAAGCCCGCGCGAGTTAGCAAGCTACCAGCTTTCCGCCCTCCGGAGACGGAGGTTCCGGGTAGAACGCCGTCAACGGGCTACGGGCACGGCCCCATAAAATACGGCCATGCCAAATGGCGGTTACCGCCAAGTCGGTTCAGCTCTCACGAGGAAGCCGCTAAGGGGACTCAACGCAACTTGGCCCATGAAAGCCGTTGCCCCTTTCGCCACCGTTACCACGGCGAAGTTGAAAGCACTTGACATTTTGTAATGCTACACACCCCCGGCCCCGCCGTGTAAAAGCTACTTCATACACCAGAGACACCAAAACAATCCACCCAAGTCAAGCACAAGGAAGAGGCCAAGCTCGAGTGGGGCAGCCAACCTCACCGCAGACACACACACGAGAGAGGGGAATCCCTCACCACCGACCCGCACAGCCACGCAAACCCCAACAACAAGAGCTCTCGCAGCCTCTCCGACACCTCAGCTTCGAAACCCAGCCATCCAACCTCCCCCCCGGAAGCACCCTCGCCATGGGCAACATCTGCGGCAAAGAAGAGCCAGACACCTCGCCGCCCGGCCGCGTCCTCGGCTCCGCGCCCGCAGCACAGCGAAAGTCGACGGTCCCCAAAAAAGTCGGCGGCCCCCCGCGAACACTCGGCACCGGCACCGGCACCGGCATCGGCCCCGGCGAAGCGACCACTTCCCCCGGCGACGCAGGCGACGCGAGAAGGAAAGCCGCCGAAGCAGCAGAGGTGCGCACTCGCACATACATACATGTACCCACCTGCCTTGCTGTCCTCCAGTGAGACTAACAAAAGACGGCAGGCCAGAGCAAAAGCATCCAGCAAACCAGGCGGCAAGCTGCAGAGCCAACTATCCGCGCAGAAGCGCCAGTCGCGAGCAGATACCCTCAAGCAAGCCAGCGCGGAGGAGCAGCGGCGGAGGGAGATTGCAAATAACGAGGCCACAACGTATAATTAGGACGCGTGCGCTCTTCTCCATGTCACCCCGTGTTGGAGTCGTGTCAAACTCGTCGAGGGTGTGATGCGTAGGGATATATGAGTGAAGAAGAAGTGTTTTAGACTTACAAGGCATGTATGCCGTGTACATATAACTTTTGTGGTTTTCGTCGAGTACTGGGCGTTTTTCTCCTTTACTGAGAGAGCACTCTTTAGCACATCACTAGCGATTTTGATCTGAATTTATCTTTTCTTCTTCTTCTCTTCTCTTTGAGCTGTAATTCACGCTGAACTTTATTTCTACCCTACTCGAGTGGACTTGTGATATTAACATATGTATTCCCCCAAACAAACTCCTAGCTCCGGTCAACCTTGCGTACATATTCCACCAACATACATACCATGGCATCTCCCGCCACCGTCCTCATCCCATAAAAGAATTTTTTTCCCTCTTTTTTTAAAAAAAAAAAAAAATCAACTGACTGTGTAACGACCACTAGCTGGCGCCCTGCTATCTGCATCTGCTGCCGCAATGGTTCCCTCTCTAAGCAATCTCGTCATTTCTTGAAGCGCCGACCCGACAGCTAGTTCCGTATCACCTTCAATAAGAATATACAGCTTCGGGTCCGCGTTGGGAGGAACCTCCTTGCCGGGAGGGTAGAAACTGCCCTTGGTCGTGATGGATGTTCCAGTGGAATCCAGAATCTTGGCCACATTGGTTCTGTTCGTGACGGCCCATCTGGCCTTTTGCGGAAAGTCGTTGATTTCCAGAGTCGCATGGAATGCGCCAGCGTCGGGACCCTTATTGTCGATGGGCTGACCCGATCGGAGCTGCCCTGCCTTGCCGAGGCGGCTGTTGATGGCGCTGACTGCAGAGCTGACCTTGTCAAGGGCATCTTTGGCCTTGTCCGCGCCGGCGGTGGCGCTATTATCGCCACCTTTTTGACCATCTGCGGCTGGCTTGGATGTGTCCCGGGCTTGTACACCCGATGCAGCTGCTCGGATGGCATCCAGAGCCTTCTCGGCCTTCTTATTCTCCTCTTCCTTGTCTTCCTTTTCTTCCTCTTCTTCGCCCTCGGCCTTGTGTGTCCTGCGCTCTCTGAGACGAGCAGCTTCTCGTTCCTGGTCAAGACGATCGAGACCCTTGCCACCAAAGCCAGATGAGTCCTTGGCCTTGCCAGACTTGACCTTTTCACGATGTGCCTTTCTCATCTCGTTGAGGCGCTCGGGCACAGGCTGCTCACTCTGCTCAAGGGCCTTGGCGATACCCGGCGCGCAATTCTCCTGATCTGGCGTGACAAAAGTAACCGCAACACCGGTGTTGCCGGCACGACCCGTTCGGCCGGCACGGTGAACATAGTCCTCGAGATGGTTCGGCGCATCGTAGTTGATGACAAGTTTCAACTGCTTCACATCGAGACCTCGAGCGGCGACTGATGTAGCAACAAGCAAAGGCACGACGCCCTTTTTGAAATCGGAAATCGTTGAGTCGCGGTCCACTTGATCCTTGCCACCATGAATCGACATGCAAGGGTAACCCTTGACCATGAGCTCCTTGAGCAAGTCGTCGGCCTTTTCCTGCCGGTCCACAAAAATCAATGCGCGGGCATCCTCGTCGCGATCGTAGAGCTCACCCAGGAGCTCCAGAACGCGGAGAAATTTGGTATTCTCCTCACGGACCTCCACAATTTGCTCAATCTCTTTGGCCACGACACTGCGGCCACCGACAGTAATTTCAACAGGGCTCTTTAGGACCTTCTTGGTCAGCGAGTCGATAATTCGAGGCATTGTTGCGGAAAAGAGAATCGTTTGCTTGTCAGGACGCATGCCGGCAAAGATCTTCATGACCTGAGGCTCGAACCCCATATCAAACATTCGATCTGCTTCATCCAACACGACGTAAGTCACCCTCCGTAGGTTCGTCACTCGGCCCTGGTTCGCAGCAAGCAAATCAATCATTCGGCCGGGGGTGCACACAATGATCTCAGCACCACGCTTTAATTCGGCAATCTGATCTCGGATTGGCGCACCTCCATACGCACAGACGGCACGCAGCCCCATGCTTTTCAGGAACGGCTTGCAATCCCTGTGGATTTGTGTAGCCAACTCACGGGTTGGCGTCATAATCAAGCCAACGGGACCATCAGTGTCCTTGATGGGCGGCTGGTCCATGATGTGGCGGAACATGGGGAGCAGGAATGCCACGGTTTTGCCAGAACCAGTCTTGGCCACGCCGACGACATCGCGACCAGACATGAGCGTAGGGATAGCCTGCATCTGAATAGTTGTTGGCTTTTCATATCCCAAATTGTCAATGACATCCAAGGTCTGGCGCGTGAGGCCGCATTGGGCCCATTTCTGGACCGGCTTGGGCACGTCTTTGCCATTGACCTTGATGCCGTCGAGCTCTAGGCGTAAATCTGCCAGCTCTTCCTCAGTAAGGGCGCTCAGCTCGGCCGGCTCAACCCAGAAGTTTTTGCGAACTGGCACCAAGTCAATCTTACTGTAGTCCACCGTGGGAATATCCTTCTTTTTGCGTTTGTTTGCAATAGCAAGGATGTCGGGATCTCCTTTCTGCTCTGAATCAAAGTTGTACTCGTCGTCGCTAAAATAGGCTTCCGGTTCCTGAGCTTTCTTCGCAGCAATGATAGGTTTGACAGGGCCTTTTGTTTCCGTCTGCTTCAGGTCGGCCATGAAGGCATCCAGGGGGTCCACGTCCTCGTCTTCTTCGTCCACATCCATACTCTGCTCCGGGGCGGCTTCCTTTTCTTCTTCTTCCACAACAGCACCATTGGTATCCCGTACGCCGTTTGGCTCTGCATCAACTTGCGCATTGTCTTCCTTGGTATCTTCCTCCATGGGCTCACCTGGCTGGGGTTCAGCTTGATTCTCTGCCTGCTGTCTTCTCTCGTGCGCGGCACGTGCCGCAGCAGCAGCCTCTTCTTCATTCTCAGCGAAATTGTCTCCATCCGAGTCGTCGTCCTCATCCTGATCAGCATAAGGGGTATCATCAGTTTCCATAGGTAGAGCAGGCAGCTTTGTAAGCGTTCGTTTAGTGGTATCCTCTTCGTCGAGATCAAGTTTGCGCTTCGTGGGCAGCTTGTCCGCGTCCGCATGAGACTTCCCGAACCCGAACGCACTCGTCTTTACTCTGTTGGCGGGCAAAGCGGAGGCTTTTCGACCACTGTTAGCAACAAGGCTGAGTCCGTTGCATGTTCTGAAGGACTGGCACTCACCAACAGTCTTCTGTTTGACAGGCGCAGCCAGCTGCTCTTGCTGGACATCAAGTGAGCCCAATACAGACTTGGAAGTATCATGCGTTCTTGATGCAGCAGATTTCTTGGCAATGGTCTTGGGGTCGAACTTGCCAGCATAAGGAACAGCAGGGGATGCGCTGCCGGATTCATTCATCGTCCCCGGTGAGGCGACTGACGAAACACCGGGCGAAGCAGCAGACGATGAAAGTCCCATGGCCTTCATATCCATTTCAGCTAGGAGGCTTCTAGTCTGACTAGGATTTACCTCCTTCTGCTTCTGACTTTCGCTTTCCTTCTTCTTCTTCCATGCCTCCAATTTCGCAAGTCGCTCAGCCTTCTTATCGGCGTCGGACTGAGGAGTGGCCACTTTGTTCTTTGCCTGATCGGGTCCGGGTTTGGCGCTATCAGCCAGGGGCGTCTTTCGACTTCGACTGTCGGGGCGGCTGCCGCGGGTATAAGTGTCTGCAGTGCCTTCACGGCGGCCACGGCCTCCATCACGGGAATCAGGTCGCCTCCTGTGATCTCTGTCATCGTCACGACTGCGGTTTCGTCTGCGTGCAGGGGAGCGAGGCCTGTCATTGAACCGGTCGCGCGACCTGCGTCTATCTCTATCGCGGTGGTCTCGAGTTCCTCCGCGGTAGTAGTCGTCGTCGCGTCGATCTACAGACCGTTCTCTGCGGCGGTATGAGTCGCGATCGCGGGCACGGTCACGGTCGCGGCCACCACGGTCACGGTATCGATTCTGCTTGTTGATAATGAGGTCAGAATACAGGCCAGTAGGTCTATGGAGATCAAGTCTTCTCACATCAGGACTGCGCGACCTCGAGCGCCGGCGGTAGTCACTCCCGTCGTCTCGACGGTCTCTATCCCGCCGATCGTCATCTTTTCGGTGGCGACGTGAGCTGTATTGACTGCCTGCAGGACTTGGTGAGCGCGAGTCTCTTGGCCGAGCCATGGCGGCCTCGCAAGCTCAGGAAGAATCTAGGTTGGTGAGTAGTACTTTTTTTGGTCTTAATCTGGTTCCTTGAGGGGGAGTTCCCGAGGCCAGCCCTGGCGCAAAGCTCCGAACAACTTTGGCCACAGCGGCCTGAGTAAACGGAAGCCCTGTCCTTTTTTAATTTGGCGCGTAGCTGATGAAAAGAGTGAAGCAGCTAGCGGGTATCAAATTCGCAAAAGCAGATGGCAGCTCGCGGCCAGGGGACGATGACAGATGATGGACGGGAGGTCGTCGAGACTTTTTTGTCTCGTGCGAATGACGGACTGCAAGTGGTGATGCGTCTGAGTGGCGGGTTCCTGGCACCGCGGTTTTACCGTGCCAATAATGGTTAATGGTGGCTGCCACTGACTGGCCTGCGCTAAACCAACCTGGCACGTCCAAGACTCAACTGGGCTCTCATCCATCTATCTCATTCAGCTACTTAAAACTCACGCTTCTTGAGCAGCCTCTCACTTATTTCATCGCTCCTTGGCACAATTCTCTTTTCTTTTCCCTGGGCAATATGGCAGGGCTAGTGGGATACGCCAGCAGCGATGAGGACGACGACACCTCCCCGCATGCTCCGTCCCCCAAGGTATATTTCATGTCCAACCTTGTTCAGCCTCAGAATCTAATACACAATCAGGCATCATCTCCTCCTGAGGGCGCGGGAACAAAAAAGATCTCAAGTGAGCATTTAAAAGAAGGTATTTATTCCTCGATCCGTTAATTGAATACTAGTATTAAACGCTAAGATATCCAAGAACCTGCCTCAAGTCAACAACAACCATCTCACTCACTAAATCTCTTGGAACACCCATCTCAACCATCTTCAACTCAACCAGAACCATCACAATCGTCCTCAACTCAGCCACAACCACAAAACACCAACCCCGTGACCTTCGACTCACCCCTACCACCACCGGAATCCAACCCCCCCGACCTTCCCGAACCTCCAGAAACATCCGCGCCCTCATCCCCGTACACAACAACCCGCAGCCTCATCCACGATCTCACCCTTCCTTCAGTGCCGAACCTCGACATCCCCCCCTCCCCGCCGGGCTCGCCGCCTCCACAAACAAGCTCCAAATTCCAGCAGTTTCTCACCCTCAAACGCCAAGGCACTCACTTCAACAGCAAGCTCGAGCAGTCCGCAGCGCTGCGCAACCCTTCTCTCACGGACAAACTCCTCTCCTTTGTAGACCTATCCGGGCCCGCGCAGTACGAAACCACCCTGCCGTTGGAGTTGTACGATCCCAGCGGGTTTCCGGAGTGGTCGTACAGGGACAAGCTGCGGAGGGCGAGGGAAGACGTTGTGAAGGCGAGGGAGGAGAAGGCTGGGGGGAGGAGTTCAATAGAATTTGTAAGCGGTTCTGTACATTCGCCCGGTACCGGAGGGGGCATCTCAAGAGAAAAGCGGAAGGGTGGGTGGAAATGATGAGAAAGGGTTCATCAATGACGCTATGGTGCTTGCATGGGGATACACGTCGAGCATGTGGTGAAGTGACGAAGAAATAGCACAGGAGCAGCATGAGTCAGCGGCAGGGGAATATTGGCATTTAGAATAATCGTGTATAATAAGAAAAAAAAACAAGTGAAAAGGAATACCCAATATGGTATTCAAGATTATATTCAGTTTGGCCGTCGTTGGCCGGCTAGTTGTAACAACCGCATCGAGGTATCATCAATCAGAATGCGCCTCCTGTGTCAATCCAAAACAAAATCCTCCGACCCATTGACCTCCTCCTTCATGCCCGTTTTTGTCTTTTCCCGCTGTCGCATTTCGACTAGCGAAGCAAACACGTCCAGCCATTGACAACACGCTGTCGAATTCGTACATATATGTCCCAGTGACAAACCGAGCACGCAAACAAAAGCCCCCCCGAGGCAACCACCCAAAAGACCCAAGACAACCAACGTGGGGAATAAAACATGCAGTCGGTTCACTCCGTCTTTCTCATTGACATGGAAATTTCCCAATTAAATTAAAGAAAAAAAAAAAGCATTATAGAAACCTTTGCCGACCGTCTCTCAGGAGCTGCAAGTAGCCTTGAAGTCTGGAAGACCGGCGGCCTGGAAGGTTTCGGCGAGGCTGAGCTCAACAGTCTGGTTGGCGCTGCCGAGAGCATCCATGAGCCAGGGAATCTCGTTGCCACCTTGTTGGACGTGAGTGCCCTGAAGGTCGATGGTGATTTTGCCAGTCTCGCAGTAGGGCTTCTTCGTGGCGGCGGAGATGATGATCGTCTGGTCGAGAATGGCGGAGACGGGGACGACGTTCTGGCCAGGCTTGAGGACAAGGTTCTGGATAGTCAGGTTTCCGAGAAGCTGGTTGTCGGCATAGTTGTTAAAGGTCGCGTTGCCAATGTCAATGGTATAGTATGAGGGGTTGGTGATGGTGGCGGTAGCGTTGAAGTTGGGGATGCCGTCCTCAGCGGTACCAATCTTGATCTTCATGTCGGAGAGAGTGGTGCCGTTGAGCTTGTTCAAGCCCTTGAAGGTGACGACCTTGTAGAAGTCGACATCGTACTTCTTTGAGAGACCAGCTGGCTTTACCTTGGTCTTGCCGTGGATAGCAACACGGAGCGTCTCGTTCTGGAAGAAGGCCTTGTTAAACTCAATGAAGGCGTCCCTGTCGGTGATTTGAACTTCTTGGCTGATGTTGACAGTCTGGAACTTGTTGGCGTTGGTGCTGGGGAAGTTGAGCTGGACAAAGGGTCTAGCACCAGGAACATCGCGGAGGGTAAGATTGCCGACAAAGGGGTCAATATCAGCCTTGACGGTGCCGTCGGTAGTGATGGTGGAGTTGATCTGCATGGTGAACTTGTCGGGCTCAGAGTTGAGGATGTTGACGGCCTGGATCCTTAGGTCGGCATCATTGATCTTGTCCTGGGCAATGTTTTTGACGCCAACAAAGATGCTGCGGAAAAAAAAAATAAACAATTAGCTGGTGCTCATTGTATGAAAAGGTAAATGAGACGAATGCAAAAAAAAAAAAGGACTGTAGAATTGCGAGATGGGTAGTCAGTCGGCCAAGCAGCCTGTGTCCCACATTGCATGTTTCCGTCACACGCAGACCAACTCGCGTTTCCAAGATGACCAAAAAAGTAGGAGCACATCGCCCAACCTGATAACCTTGAAAAAACAGCAAAGTTCCCGAATCCGCATCGCACGTAGTACACACCCCTGAACGACAAAACAAGATTGAAGCCAGCTATCAATGCGTCGAGAGACATGGTAAGATACTCACACAATACAAATGACGGCAGCAGAAATACACAGGAAGATGATCAGGTGAAGCCACCAGAATCGCTTGCAGTGGTTCTTGAGGGCGGCCTTCTTGCCACCGCGAACGGGGCCATTCTCGGTCTGGGTGATCTCCTGCTTGTCGGACATTTTCGCCAAATGGTATTTCGGACGCGTCGAAATCAGGGGGCACACTGCTTCGTCTATTGGAGGATGGAAGGGGGAGACGAGGATTAAGAAGGAGGAACGAAAATGAAAATGCTCGCGAAAGATGCGGTTTATCAAAATCTCTAGGCAGAGCACGAACCAGCCGACGACGACGAATAGGACAGCGCAATGGAAAACCAGGCACGGGAGAGGGGAATAAAACTTCAATCTAGAAAATGGATATCGACAGTATTTAAGTCAGATTAGCGCACTTAGGATATGTCTAGGTTCGCCATGAGGTCGGGGATGCGGCTTGAGATTGGGATTGGGGAGTGTGTGCAGGGGCGACCGAGATCAATTGGCCTTGGGGCTACTGGACATCTGGGGGCAACCGTACTCCTACTCTGCGGCACGAATCAGCTGGCTGGGCGCCTAAGTAGCTGATACATGCACGGAGGACGGAGGACTGGCCGGGGGGGGGGGAGGGGGGGGGGGGGGGGGAGTGGCGAGTGGAGAGTAGCGCCAGAGGAGGAGGGGCGTGGATTCTGGACTTATCGACGCTTTCAATGGACTTTGAACTCTCTGGGCTTGGACTTTTTGGGCTCTGCATGACCATCGGCACGCAGCAGACATGTCTCTGCGCTCCAACTCATGCACCTCCACGAAAGTTGGTGTGAACCCCGGACAAAGAACCAAGATGGGCACGACGATGGGCCGCTTGACGCCGTCTGCGCCCTGGGATTGGATACATGGGGGACGAAGACGCGGGCTAAAATGCGATTCGGCACAGACACACTCCCATGTGGAGGATCTGCCTCAGCAATGCAATACCTGTGTTGTGTTGTTTACTCCGTACAACACAGAGAACTGCATGTACACTGCCGCAACTACTCGTTGCAAATATTTTCATGTGCAAGTGGACATGATTCCGCGATAAGCAAAGAGCCAGGCATGACTAGCATGGTCCAACTTTGCCGGATGCGCATCATCTACTTCGTACGGAGTACGGAGGAGAACCTACTAGACTTCGACACGGTTCGTCTTTGCAGCTTCACGATACCGGACCAGGTCTAGCACGCACCTCAGCACATAGTGATGACGGGATCATTGGGTGATGATGCCAGCTATCGCCAAGATGCTCATCTGCAAAACCCTTTTTTCTAATCCCTTTCCATATTGATAGACCATGGAGCATAGGCTGTCCGTTGCCGGGTTTACAGGCTTTCCGTCTGTGAAAGCCCATGATAGTGGCCCGAAGCCTCCAAGCCGCCGCCGAAGCAAGGTTCCAAGCTTTCTCGCCCTTACGAATCTGCCAACATGCGCCATGATATCCCGCTTCCCTGCAGCCCAGTGGGGGAGCCGAGCCGGGGGTGTCAACTCCGAAGGACGCACCATGCCTGAGCTGGCAATGGGCCGAGCAAGACGCAACAGACTCGACGCCATCCCCAGACTTCCATGGGCCAAGAGCCCCGCCACATCTCTCAGGACGACATTTGCTCTCCCCAGCGAGCGGCGAAGCACGGTCGAGGCATCCGGCAGCCTCAGAGACGCCGCCACCTAGTCCCTGATCCGGATATATCGACCGGTGGAGGCAAACCAGCCAAAAGGCTGAACTGTTGCCTGTGCTGTCGTCCACCCCCATCATCTGCCATGTGCGTTAAGCTTGACGTACTAGACTTAGTAGAGATTGGAGCACCAAGAGGAAGAGGCTTGCATTGACGCCCGCTAGTCTGTCCGTTCCCTCGGCAGGTTTTGAAAATGAAGCACGTGAAGACATTTGACATGTGTCTCCTCCATGTCGTGAAAATAGACTTGGCGTGCGCGCTGTTGCGATGAAGGGGCATTTCCCTAGCACGGAGAAGCGAGAAGCCACGGCGAGGCGCGGTCAGAGAGAAAAAACCACAACCATGTCGGGTTGCGCGCGAACGAGAAGAGGCTCAATAGTATGTATGTTGTATGACTGCAGCTTTATAATATAATATTATTTCACCCCCCCATGTTGGAGCGCAATTATATCATCGAGTCAGAATGGCCTGTTCTAGAGCGTGTATTCGGTGAATTTTTTTTTTCTTGCCCTACCCAGCACCTGGAGAAGTCGATGGAAGTCGATGGGGGAACCCAAGCTAGAGAGGGGCTCCCCCATAATCCCATCCAGATGTCAATTTTATTACCCACCAGACATGCACCAACCTCCCACCGCCAGACACAACCGAAGCGCGGCGCCCACGGGAGCACTCACGCTGTTTAGCGTTTAGCGTTTGGCATGGCCGCGGCCACACCGAAAAGAACAAAAGAAGGCCCCAGATCCTACTAAGAGACTTTCCAAGAAGTATCGACCAGCCTTGACACTCCCCCCGAAGCCCAGCTGTCAACCCCAAGGCCGAATGCTGGCGCCCCGACCGAACCGAACAAACGCTGGATTGGCTGCGGAAGACTGGGGCTGTCTCGAAAAATCGACTGTTTGGTGAATGGGAGGGATCATCTATCATCTGGTGGAGCCCGTCGAGCTTTTCTCTACGCCAAGCAACGTGGTGAGCGTCTGGAGGGAGGCGTTCACGTTGTGTCGTGTCGAAGAGGAAAACTTCGGGAACTTTGAAAGTAGAATTGCGAGGCGTCAACAAAGTTTGCCACCGCTGGTTTGGCTATTTAACTACCTAGGCAGGTACGGAGTACGGAGTTCGGGTTGTTTTTGATAAGCAGTAATGGAATGCCAGTCCACACAGCATCACGCCTTCGGAGACGGCATCATGGCCATGATGGAATTAGCAAAAGCACATGGGTACGGAGTACTCCGTAGAGAGACTTATCAGTGCCGGCACGGTAACTGCTCCGTACATACATACAAGCGACATGAAAACGACCATGATGCCCAGTTTGCCATGCATGCTCTTCCGGTGTTGGCCATGGCCTCGAAGCTTTGATTAAATTTACGGGGGCATCGCGGCCCTGGGTTCCCTTTGCGGATGGTTGTGGACTCTGCGAGCCACAAAAGCCCAGCAACGGCGGTACACGATGCAACACCGACGAGCGCTCATGGGTATGGATGGTGCTTGAGCACCCACGCACAGCGCAACAGTTCGGCTAGTTGTGAGGCATCGTGACCCCTGGTGGTGGCGTGGTTTGTGGATCGAAGATTGTCGTCCCGCCTTGGCCTCATATTACTAAGTACTAGCAGGCCAGAGCTATTCCTGTCGCCGGCTTGACTCTGTCTATCAACTTGTCCCTTTGGCCAGGGTTCCAGCTGTTGGGAGCGCTTTTCCCTACCCGTTCCCATTCCCCAAACGAAACCTATCCACATGCGAAAATGTCGTCAGGCACATGGGCAGGCACAACGACAGGCACCGTCCCGCGAGGCAAGCCACGACACGCCCACTTCGCATACTGGTTTCCCTAGAGACGTTCGTTGTCCCAACATCGTGACGACTCCGTTGAGAAGCTCCGGCTGTTGTTGTTAGCTGAACTCTGGCTGCCAATGACCGACTGCCAGACATACATACATACATGTTGGCGCGCAGACTTGGCCTTGACTATTGCGACTCCTCGTCAAAGACTTCGGGCTAGCGCGACAAGCTGGACGAAAGCAGATTGATTTGTTCTGGTGTTACCCATCATCTCGAGCCATCCCCACCTGCTGCTACTCTAAAAATCGACCAGGATGCTGGGGCCACCAGTCACAGGTGAATGATTTTTCATCCCATCAGACTGCTAGTAGTATCAACACCCGGATCAGTCAAATGCTGCCACATGGTCGACGTCGATAGAGTGCAAGTGTTTAGAGTCTCAGGACTGGGCGGATGCCTATTTCCACAGCATACTTACGCAACCCACCCCAGGATCTGGAGGTTACTAAATGAAATGAGAGTGTGAAGACGCAAGACCTCTCCCGAATTTCCCACAGACGATTGCTTCACCATGGTCCATGGAGCTGTCGGCCCAAAAGGGTCACGGGTGCAGTTCTTTTCGCCACCTCAGGCCGTAACCTCCGGAGCGCAGTTCCTGGATTGTGATGAAATAATCATTGTACTACTACTGCTTCTGCGCCGCAAAGCTGGCGTCATTTCTGTGTAGCACGGTGCCTAGTTCCGTGTGTCTTACTCTCCCACTGCACCTTGCTGTTGCTCATCGCAAAGGCCCGACAGGAATCGCAATGGATGGCCGAGCGGGCATGGACAATACGACCTCGTCAAAAAAACGAGCGACTGGCCCATGCCGGGACTCTTTGTCTCTGGAAGCGTCACAAGCCAGCGGCAATTGTTCCATCGCAGGCCGTTTCCGAAATGCGAGTAATTGTCATTGCATTGTACTTTCAACACAGAGAACGATGTCCTGCCAACACGAGCTTTTGCATCGCCTAGTTGGAGAAAGTTGGTGTTCGAGTTGGACAACCATCCTGGTCTGGCGTCAGCCCACCGACATGGGCTGCATCGGCTGCAATAACGTGCAGTAACCCGCATCGACAACACCGTGACACAAGCGCCATTGATCCAGGGGTTCAATGTCAGTGTGTGTATGTACAACATTCCCAGGTCTATAGCCAGTCCAACAACTGTCTTTTTATGATTTAGTGTGCATACATTCGTTCTTGGCCCTTTTGAAGCTGTCATGCACCTGATTTCAGACCAAGTGAAGCCAAGAGTACCTTTAACAAGCGCTGGCTGTCATCCGAATCTGGTCTCGACATTCCTTGGCCTATTACGCCGTTGCCAGAATACGAATCACCTGTTTGATTTGGTCGGGTGCCTCCCATCATAGTTCCTTTCGGCCAATGCCTCGGAGAGTGCAACATGGAAGCCTGTCTACCAAGTACCTCGTAAGCAAGGGATCGTCTGGAAGGAATATCTAAGCCTTGGCTGATCATTGTACAACCCCCCAAATAATTTGGCATCGGCTGCCACTCCTCGGCAATCCTAATCTCAGAGCGATATACAAGCATATGTTGCAGAGTGTCGTACTACTACTGATTCTTCTCTGATCGGCGTTTCAGGTGGACACGGTATGGTGGCGTCAGTTGCGCTTCCAATGCTGCGAATCTTGAGCGGTATATTATTATGCTATTCATCTCCCGAAACTGTCATGTCCCCGAGTTCCACATCTGCAAGTCGATTGCCAGTCTGCAGGGTCCCGGGTTTCATATATAAAGTTGGTGGCTGTGACGGAGTACAAGGCCAAGGCCGCCTTTTGGTGATAGGTTCCACTTTGCCATTTTCACGAGCGGCCGAGGTAGTAGTTTCGAGATATCTGAATATTACTGCGCTGAGAGTGAAGGTGATTCACAAGTTCGGATTAAAGCTTTGACTTTGTCCACAAACCCCGCTTGTCCAACCCCGGTTCCCCGTCGTAAATGTCTCTCTCCACACGTCGACTGTTGATCTAAAACGTGGGGTAACAAACCACTTGTTAGAAACTTGTCGCCAAGGGGTCTTTACGGATGTAACTCTGCAGTTGGAACTTGTCCTTTGCGAGCCAGGAAAAGGTAAGAAGAAACACGTACGAATTTGGGTCCTAGCTCCGATATCCTCTTCACCCCAAGCAGTCGCATGCATGTGGCAGTCTCAGCCTCGAGAACTAAGTTTAACAAGTCCTTGTTAGTAGTCATTTACAGACAGAAGCATAGCATCGGACAAAGCAAGCCAAGAATAGAGTCGTTGGTGGTGAATGTCTCCAAACAGCTGACACATGAAAACGCCCAAGGAGTAAACCGCGGGAACAAACGAACCGGCGCATGAGAGAATCCATGCGAACCAACACCCGCCCAGGTCTTTGAGGTGTCCGGTAAAAAGGAGAGTTGGTTGGGAGTCAATTTTCGAAAAAGCCACTTACTTTCGAGTGTTCGTTCCACGCCTGCCTGGCCTCCAGCCCCCAAACCGAAAAGAGCAGCGCGTCCAAGACCGACTGCTTTCGCGCCGAGACACAGAGCCTTGACAACGTCAGTCCCTCTCCTGATACCGCCATCCACCCAGACCTCAATCTTGCTGAATATCTCGGGGCAATATTTGCGAATCTCCAGTAGTGTGTGTACAGCAGGGGGAGCAGTATCCATGGCCCTTCCGCCGTGATTGGACAAGATGATGGCCTTCACCTGAGGAGCATGTTGAGCTGCCAAGTAAGCATCCTCATGAGTTTGGATTCCCTTGAGGACAATGGGCAAGTCGGTGTGCTGTGCTAACCAAGGCAGGGTTGTCTTCCAGGTCAAATCACACGCAGTTCCAAAGAACAGCTGCTGGCCAACGCCGCCTCCGCCGGGTCGCTGAGCATCACCGCCATTGGTCACCGCCGCTTGGACATTGTTGCCCCTCTCAAAGTTGGACTTTTCATCCAGCTCACGCTTACCCGGCACAGGAGCGTCGAGGGTTAAGCAGACAAATTTGAAGCGGTCCTTCATGGCATTGATTCGCTTCAGCATGGCCACGCTCTTGTCTCGCTGGTTCTGAACGTAAATCTGCCAGCCAAACATTTGTTCTGACGGGGCGCCGTCCACGATTTGTTCTGGAGTCATGGAAGCATTATTCGAGATGACTTGCAAGGCATTGAAGCGAGCAGCGGCTTTCGCGATGCCATGCT